ATAATTTAAAAAAAATAAATTAATTAAAATCAAATCATTTGATCAATCAATTTCCATTATAAATGAAGACAAAAACCAATCTCCTATTGAAAAAGAGAATATCAATTAGACAAAACCAAAAGAACAAAAGCTTGTTATTGTTAATGTGTTTGATCTTGAATTTTATAATGTTTCGATAAATATATTTGAAATAATTATCTTTTTTTTTTTCCTTGGTCCTTGTTCTCAAATTATCTATTTAATTTTAAATTTAAATTTTAAATTTTAAGGAACTATCACGCGTGCGGACATGTATAGAAGATGAAAATGTGCATGTCAGGTTTGTATGCAAGCTTGTATTTGGGTCGGAACAACCCACTGATATCTAAAAAAAAGTGAAACAGCTGTCAACAAACGACAAAAATGAAGCTAGTTCTAGCTATATCTGTAAAAGTCTGGGAAGATTTATTAATTTAGTAGACTAATTTTTTTCTGCAAAATAATAGGACTTTTAGCTACTTGCCACCTAATTTTCCCTACGGATTTTTTCCCACTAGGGGATTTATTTTGGTGACCCTTTTTTCCTAGTTTCCCTAACGATTTTTTTCATTTTTTTTTTTCAATTTTTTTTTACATCAGGTTTTTTTCATTGCCGTATACGTTATAAGGTAGAACATATTATCATTTTTTTTTTAAATTTTATTTTGTATTTTCTGTATGTCAATTAATGATTGTCTAGTCCTTGTAAGGTTACACTATAAAGGTATGCCTACAAAGGCATTATCCAATCAATTGATTAATTGACTCTTGATGCACTCGTAATACAGTACTGATTAAGACGAAAGACACATTGTACAAACGTATTAAAAAGTTTATATCCGGGTTTGCATAAGAAATAGAGGAAAGAAAACAGGATATCTTTATTATTTTCGCTCATCACACCTATTTCCTTATTGTTCTGTATAACCATATTTGTATGCATAAACAAACAAAAAAATTCCGGCAATGTTATTTGTGTACTTTTACAGTACTTTTGAGGTCAGTGCCTATAGTAATTCCCTTCTACGATTATTACGCCTACTTTTATTTCAAACTATCTGTTACAATTCTTGGAAGCATAACATGCATATATCATAAAATAAATTATTTTATTAATGCTATTTCAGTTGTTTTAATATTAGTTAGCATTATGTTAACTTGTTATAAAAGTATGTGTATTATAAATAAATAAATATATATATATATATATATATATATATATAATGATAAGTCCACGTGTGTTTCGTCGAAATACAACTCAAAAGTAAGAGGATAAGATTGACTTGGTAGACTTGAAACACTAAATTTCTTATTCACATGATTATTTTGGCCTGTCCTCAGACCTTCTTCAGCATAGTGACAAACATTATGTAAGTTGGCTGACAAAAATCTCAGTATAATATAAAGAATAAATTGATTGGTCTAAAATTTTATCAAAGTATAATGCACATGGTGATAGGCTAAAAAAATACTAGGAGGCAGAGTAATTAACGAATAAACTAATTAGGAGGTATAATAGAAATAAAGCTGATGTAATTTTATTGCTCAAAATGTATAAATATATAAAGGTTGACAGTTTTTAAAATGTTAAGACTGCTGTAGATTTCGTGATACAATGAAAAAAATTAAGTGTCCCCTTAATAAGGGTTGACAATTTATTGATTTTACCATGTGGCACACCTAGATAAGTGTCTCCGTCCGACAGGGGTGCCACTTTAATAGACGGTTGGCCGTAGTATACTTTTCACTTGTTTCACTAAAAAGTGATAGGGGTGTCCGCTTAAGATGTCCCAGAGTAAGGGGCTCTATTTTTATTATATTGGTCGTATATTTCGTATCTTGGTCACACTGGGCCCACGGTTTATAGTCTTTTTTTCCGATAACAGACTTACCTCACCACCAGAAACTTTGGCAAACATGCCGCTCGAACAAACACCGATATATTGCCCTGATTTATTCGATTGGCCATTCGATTTTCGCCAAAGGATATTGCATTCATTCCAACTTTTTTTTGTTATTTTATATTGACCCAATGCGCATGACATGATAATATAGCATAATTTGTAGAATTACACAGCTTATACATGCCGATTATTTGTCGATGGCAGTGGCCATCGTTAAATCAAATATTAATTGTGATTATTTGTTAATGTATGTATGGATTAGATTAGGAAAATAATATCCAATCAAAATTAGGAAGTGGTTTAAGGCCGGTGTAGGGGGTGGGACACTGCCATTTCATATATTGTGTGCATGTTGCATAACCGCATGTGTCATTTAAAGTGATGTGTGTTTATAAAAGAGGTATATCCCTGTATCTAATTTAGCTTGTATATGACTGTCCATACAGGTAAAGTGTAATTCAAAAAAGGTAGTGAGATCAAAGATCAAATAATCTGTCATAGGTGTTGCATATGACTTGTGTTAAATATACAAAGAGAATAATATCTAGTGTATTTTATCACTGATTTAAAGTGCTGATTCTGAACGCGTCCTACAAACGGGTTTGTCGAGATGTAAATCGTCAAATCAGGAATGGTGACTAGAAGGGGATCACAGATGTGTTAAGTATTTTACATATTTGCATAGTGTATAAATCCCCTCTATTACTAAGTGTATCAAAACAACGTTTGTAATGTTTTCAGGTACTAGATTTTTCGTATGAAGTGATAGAGGGTTGTGCCATAACAAATACTGCGTTAGCGTTCAGGAAAGAATGTTGCCGGTATGTCAAGAAGTTTCTTTTTTAAGTTTATGACCTACCGTAATGTTGGTTGCTGATTCAAAATTTTGTTTGATAAATGTAGTGGAGTAAAGATACTAATTTAAAAAAAGGGTAAAATCTTGTATGGTTTGGAGTAAACCTAGTGTCAAAGCAGCCTTTTCTACCGTAATTGTATGATAGTCGATTGATATGTGAAATGCCATAGTGGAAACTGGGGTCAGATATAAAATTTGTGGCAATCAGGAGAGTTGAGCTACAGGATGTATTAAATGTACTGAGGAAATGTTATTTCCATACAGTGGCGTATCTAATAAGGGAGAGCGTAAGCCTACTACCCCACCCTTATAAAACATACCCGCCCCTCAGTCTACCCACTCACGTAGCAAAAAATCACCTAAAATCACTTTATTGTACGAGCTAGCACGTGACCTTTGAGCACCATCATCCTCAACCGCATTTTAAGACTCCAGATACTCCACTTGGTACATCAGTATGTGCTGATCGCCGATGAGGGGGTGCTTATTATGGGTCACATGCTATATTAGGCATGGTTTAGGGAGGAAGCATATTAATTTTGTACAAAAACATTATAGTCTTCAATAGAGAAATTAGAATCGTAACTTAGAAAAATATGATATATCATTATTATTAATTTTTTTTACCACAGGTTGAAGTCAGTTTATTTAAAAATCATCAAGGCTAAGCTTCTCCTGTTTGTTTAACATTTTGTTTCCCTAATGTAAAATACTAAGTTTCTCTATTTTGGTACCTTTTAGGTAACGGAATGATGGGTTTGATTTCTAGCTCGATAGCATTAAATAATGTTAAATAATACATTGGTAATTGCTTTTATCGATTATTGGTACATACATTTTATGGTGTGTTGTAAATAAAGATCAAATGTTGTTTGACGAAGGATTAATATAATGTAGGTTTCAAATATTTCTTAGAGCTTTTCTTCTGCGGAATATTTAAAGAATTTATGTTGAGAGCAGATGTAGATCTCCAGGTGGTAATTGCATAACTGTTAGGTAGTATATGTGCATTGTATATTATAAGAATTCTACGAGGAAACCTTTGTCGCAAGTATACAAATAAATGCGATAATTGAATGTCAGCGTTTCATCCAGAAACAGTCATAGGAAATTAACTTTGAACGTTTAAGTTTCTCATTGCCGGTGCTTAGAAATAGATATACGTTTACGTGGCTACATTTTGCAAAATAAGAATAATTCCGTCACTGCAGGATTAGAAAATTGTGTTGTTCCTAACCCTAGATTTATAATATTTTAATTTATTCACATTTAGTGTTGTTTAATAGTTCTTAACCAGGTCGAGAGTCCATAGCTCCTAGCTCATAGTTCGAAAGGCTTGATTGGCTTTCATATTGCTATAAAATACATCTGTATGGTCAATATAATATATATATATATATATATATATATATTATATACATACATATATACATATATATATATGTATGTATGTATGTGTATATATGTATGTATATATACATATAGATAATAATAAAAATAAAATATTTAAAATGAACTTATATAATATATTTAGACTTGTTGAAATTAAAAATTCCATGTAGCTAGTTCGATTCAGTTGTATTTTGTATTTAGTATTTTATTTCTATGCCTATGTTTAAAATTTGCATACCAAATACAGCTAATCCGAACCATATTTGTTACAACTGTGTTACATATGTATGTATATATATATATATACATATAGATAATAATAAAAATAAAATATTTAAAATGAACTTATATAATATGTTTAGACTTGTTGATATTAAAAATTCCATGTAGCTAGTTCGATTCAGTTGTATTTTGTATTTAGTATTTTATTTCTATGCCTATGTTTAAAATTTGCACACCAAATACAGCTAATCCGAACCATATTTGTTGCTACTGTGTTACAATTTCATTTGATTCTATTACAATGGTTTGTAATAGGCACTTTCCTAACCTTAAATTATATTATGCAAACTTTATAACATTTCCGGTTTCCCTCGTTTCTGTGTTTATGAAATGAGATTATTAATAATATTTTGGAGAGACTAGTACATGACAGTTGAACTAATATTTATAAGATTTCCGGCTTCCCTTGTTTCTGTGTTTATGAAATGAGATTATTAATAATATTTTGGAGAGACTAGTACATGACAGTTGAACTAATATGACATAATGTAATATAAAATAATGTTTAATTAAGCATTATAATTCTGAATAAATCCAAATGAGTACAATTTTGAACATCCAGTGACTTGGCAGTACCAATACAGTATTTATTTAAATTGCAAGAAAATCTATATTATCTGAGTATTTATTTAGAAAATTGTTTACCAGACAAACCAATGTGATAACAATGGTGTACGACCGGATAAAACTCCTTATTTGTTTACCAAAGGCCTACTCAAATTCGTAAATAGAGAGCTAACAAAGGTTCACAACGCGCTGTTTGCTAATACTGACCCAATAACGACAGCGCTCTGAGGCTGGTAATGAAAATGCCTTCACAACTTCCAACATTAATATTAGAAAAGAAAAAATTTACCTCTTTCTAATATATAAATTTAATTTATTTCTATCTACTTATCTACTTAAAGTTTAACTGTAGATTATATAGTAGTGACTTGCAGGTCTTGGCTTACGATATGAACAACCCTATCTGTATTGCAAATTGTCCTAAAAAGTTGTGTTCACTGGGTCTCTGTGTGCGTGTCTTGGACAAACACAGTTCAATATTATGTTTGTAGTTCCCCACAAATGACAAATAAAGTTATTAGTATTTTACAACTGAGTAACTTTCCAGGCTAAAACAATATCGTTTATTTTGTCCAAAAACACTAATTTTTAGCCAAACTATCAATGCTTTCTGCAGCATGTCTTCTTCCAACTTTATTGGTGGTTGTTTTATCCTCTTTCAGTTTATCATTACAAACGACATGTTCTCTTAACATGCAAGTGCAATGGAATCAAAAAGTGTTTGTGCGAACAAAATAATTGTGCAGTTGATTAGCAAAACGGTGATGTCGCAACGGTATCATGTCATATGTTAGAATAACCGTCAACGCTTTCAACTTTCTCTTTTTTTTTTATCAATCTTACCGTCTATTCAGAAATAAAAGATATGTGTGCATAGAAATAAACAAAAATATTCTTTTTATGCCAACATCGATCTCAATTCGTTCCAAGTAATCAAAATAAAAACTTGAAAAGTTCGGCCAACACTGTTCTATTTTAACAATCCATTTTTTTTCAATTCTCAGTGCTTTTGTTTTTGACTTTATGGAACAACGCCGTCAAATTGTAATATTGTCAATGAATTTTGGTGAATGGACATAGATCGTCGATTTCATAGTTTATAGGCACTTGGTCGGTACGTAATGGCAAAGAGGTTCAGTGTTTCCATGCTTATCCTTCCATTTGAGATATCTCAAGTTCCAATATAACCTGAAATTATAAGGTTTGAATGAATATAGGCAAATACTGCTCATAAATATTTTGAAAGTTGAATTCAGCGGTACAAATTATTTTGTCAAAAAGTCTTACCTAATACCTTC